ATATACATATAAAATAAAAAATAAAATAAATAAATACATTTTTTTTCAATAACTCTTATTTTTTCATATTTTCATTGCAGGATTCGCTTATTAGTCAATCGCTCGAAGTAAATTTGGTGCCATACTTATTGGGTCTACTGGACAGTCGCCTAGATTATGTGGACAATGCATCGGCGGTGAAAGCGCAAATTGTCGCTGCACTCAAGGGCATGACACACAATCTCAATTACGGTGAACGCGTCACACAAATCTTGCTGAAACATCCCATATGGGCCGAGTACAAAGATCAACGACACGATCTCTTCATCACAGATACCAACATTAGAGGCTATCTGACCGGTAAATACACATTTATTTGTTGTTGTTTTATACTSTTTGTTATATACTATTTWAATTTTATTTTTAAATTTTCGCAGGCATAAATCCCACCGCTGGCTATTTGACGCAAGGCCCAGCGCAAAGCGTGGACGTACTCACCTCACCGCCACCCATGGATCGCGACGATCCATCTGCAAGACCGGCCATAGATTAATATACAGTGCATGCTGCGACACTAACGTTTTACATGCTGTAACTTTTGTTGCCCCTCGGTGCGTAGCAACAATAACTGGCAAACTGGTCAGTATTGTCAAAAGGCTTTAATTGAGCGTGAACGCTGGAAATAAACGATGCGATTACCTTTCGATTGGTGCATAACATAGCGTAGGCACAAACAAAAACAAAAAGTGGAAGCAACTAATATAAATAAATACAAAAGCAAAACAAATGACACCGCACATACAAATTTTAACTGGAATGCACTCAATCATCAAGAAATCAAAGCGTCTTAGCATCATTAATTATTTACATGTTTATTGGTTTTTTATTACTATTATTATTACTATTACTATTACTATTATTACTGCTAGTACTACTTATTTTTTGGTATTATTATGTTATATTAATGTGAATATCAGCAAAGCGCACGCGAAGCGAATTGATGTGAAGAAGTATTTTCAAAATTAAGAATATAAAAAATGTTTCCTTAAATTAGTGTATATTTACTAAATGAATTCACCGTGTTTAACACCAAAAAAGGCATATTTAATTTACAAATAGTTCGTTGGTGTTTCGATGAGCAAAATTCATGCACTTCCCCAAACCCAATTGCGCTGGGCAATATATGAAACATGTATGAATTCCCGAAAGCGATTCTCATCACTTTTAAGCACACAAAACGCATACACACGCAGTGAATACATGGAATTTTTATATTTGTAGATTATAAAGTTTACAAACTAAAAAAAAAACAAAAGAAATAAAAGAATTTCAATACACATACGGCATATATTGTACATACATATATATTATATATAAAAATATATCTATCTTAAAGTGATACAGAGAAATCTTAATAAAACCAGATTCATTTTGAATGAATGTGCGAGAATTTGCCGTTTGAAATGTTCGAAATTTCTGCGCAATTTTTAGACATTGCTGCCATTATTATTGCTTTTCATTTTTTATTATTTTCTTTTTCCTTTTTTTTATTTA